CCCTCTCTCTGCTTCCTGACTGCCAGGCCTTCCCTGACACAAAGGATTGTATCCCTTCTAAGCTATAAGCCAAAATAACCCTCTCTGTCTTAAGTGGCTTTTTGTTGGGGTAGTCTGTCACAGCAACAGAGAAGTAACTAAGACACAGGTCTTAAAGGCTACAAGAAATGGAATAAAACATAATGAAGTAAGTACTCTGTCATCTAAACCTATTTGTGATTTTTCATATATTCTTTCCTGTTGCCTTCTAGACTTTGTTAGGACCCCCGGAGAAAGGGCAAGACACTGTAGGAATATGCTTGATATATAGTTGGATTAAATAACAACCTAATATATCAAACATATCACACAGAGGCCTGCAGAAAAGGCATCCATGTTTGACTGAGCTTGAGAATAGGTACAGTATTGAAGGCTATGGCTGCAGTATCTCCCAGGCTGCCTTGGAGCACAGTGTATCTATGGGTGTGGAGAGGGCGCCATCAGCAACACTGCTGCTGCACGCTCTGAGCCCAGGACCATATCCCTAAATAAAAGGGGAGCCTGTGCATCTGTCCATCTGAGAGATTACAGCTAAACGGAGATGCTTCAGTGGTCAGGGCCCAAGGTGGAACTACACCGGAACCATCTTAAGATGCCATGGACTATTCTTTTAAAACAGATAACCTGAGAGTCAGGTGATCAAAGCAGTGTGAAGTCATCACCTCCCCTCCCCAAAACTATTCCTCAAAGCAGTGCAGGTGCTCTGCAGGGATGAAGGAAGTCCACATTCATGGGCAGGTATGAACAGGTGTGTGGGGGGAGGGTGGTCCCAGTTACAGAGGCAGGAATGCAAGAGCAACTGCCATTCATGGCACCCCGAGGACTTTTGTTTTTCTAAGGTTACAGGAGGGGATGGAGAAAAGTAACCTCAAAATACTGGTTGGTTTTGTTGTTTCAGTAATATTTCTTTAAGCTGAGAAAAAAATCTTTCATAAAGGCAAGGAGAATATTATACGCCATAGAAGAAATTTCCCAAAGTGGATGGCCCTCCTAGCAAAACAAAAGTTGCATGCTTTGGGATGGTAAGATTCTCTGAGACACTTTTATGGATAATGCCTATGTGGCAGGGTCCTGTGGTCATTGGAAATTTACTCTCCACTGTTCCACAATAGCAGCCATTCTTCCCAATATGAGCCTGGGAGCCACCTAAAGTGAACACCGTCAAATAAAGAAACCAAATCAATGGTGCTCACTTCACCTTCCGAGAGGGATCCCTCATCTCTCCAATAAGACCCCTACTACAAATATAAAACATAGTGTAAGGGGGCCTCACTGGCCTCTGTAACACTCATCACTCACTTCTAATGTGTGTTGGGTTTCAAGCACTGTTTTCTAGAATTTTAACACAGAACCTGTCATTTCCCAATCCCATCCCAATTCTTAGACATTCTCTACCGATCTTTATTTCCAAGCATTGTTCATGGCTGCATACACTTTTATCATTTCTCTCCCTGTAACTCGTTCCATGAGCATCTTCAAGTGATACAGTCCTGGCAACCACTACTCTTCATTGCTACAACAGCCTAATAGTCTCCCTTTAGGAAGACCCAAACTTCTCATTGCTACCAACAAGACTTCAAGGAACATGCCTCTCTCACAGGCTTTGGATTTCTTCCTCAGAACCAGAACCCGAGGCAAGTCTAACAGCTTAAAAGATCCTATTAAGTGCAATGGTCCCGAGGGACTAGAACCATTTTCTCTGCCAGTGGGAGCAAAGAGAGTGGGATGTACAGAAACTGCCACTCCAGTCATATGTTCCATTCCTGCTCAACCATGTAGTCTGATTGTGGTGAGGTCAAGGGCCAAATGAATTAATCACTAATAAGGTAGTTAGTAGATTGGTCTGGATCATGCCTTGTCTTTGGCCTGTGGTCTCTTCTGTGGCCTTCTCACTTGCTTTCCTACCCCACTAGGGATCTATGGAAGATCTTTTCCTTAACATACTTTCTGAAGATGAAAGGTGAGGGTCTCATAAAGCATGTATTTGGTCACAGTGATGGTGACAATGGTGATGATGCTACCGTTTACTAAGTCCTAGTTAGGCACTGTGTTCTTACATTAGCAACTTAAAATGTTTCAACAACAACCCTGCTGGGTGAAGGAGATTCCAGTAAGTCTGTTTTCCAAATCAAGAATACTGAAGTAAATGAGTAACCAGACAAAGGAAAACAGACAAGAGCTGAGGAGGACCCTAGAGAAGGATGGGGGTAAGGGCTGCCTGAGAAATGAGCAGCAGACTGCAGGTGCCGACTGATGGCCTGACCTCCATGGAGCCTTCCTTTCCCTGTGGAAGGGGCCTCTTGGGATAGACTCAACCAGCCTAAGGACATGCAAATTAAACCGCAAACCTCCAAACCTTAGCTTCAGACTCAGCCTTAAAGAACACTTTTCATCCACTATTAACTTGATTTGCAAAGCAGAAACAAAAACCTAACCCAAAAATGTGGTTGTCTCTGAGCCACTCTCAGATCTTAAACTCTGATAATAGATGATCGGGAGCCCCAGAGGGCCAGCCGTGGAACACCAGCAAAAACAAAAGTCAGAGGTCAAAAATCTCCAGTTACACTTTGATGAGGAAAATCTGAAATGTATTTGCCATCGAAGCCAATGCTAGGAGATCTGTTGGAAGGCTTGAAGGCTTCAGGAAAGCTCCAACCTTAACAGGTGCATTACCCTCCTGTCCACTGCACATACCACCTCTTGAACATGGCTTTGGACCGGGTTGGTGCCTTTCAACCCTCAGATTCCACCTTTCAGTCTGACAAAAAAAAGGTAGAATTTTAGGCAGTCCTAAACTGGGGGTCCAGAATTTTGGGGGGGGTGAAAAGAGCAAGATTTTATATCCTAATGTATTTGGGTCATTGGGGAGTGAACTATAGACAGGCAAAAAGATGTACTTAAAGAGGAAGAAAATGAAGCCTCCATGGCTCCAACCATCTTGCTTAAGATGACTATAGTGTGGGGTGCAGCAGCTTCCCAGGGCTGACCCTGACCCTGGAGATGGACCATATCTTACCTCCCCATAGAAAAGAATCTCTTCCCTTGGCTGACCCTGATCCTGGAGATGGATCATATCTTACCTCCCCATAGAAAAGAATCTCTTCCCTTGACACTTAGGAAAAACACACTAGCCAGCCACAGTCTCCTGTACACACTGAAATTTCTCTTTGAGATATGCATTATTCTCTACTTGTGTGTTTGCATGCACATGTGGAAGCCAGTAGCTCCCTCAACTGCTTCTCAACCATATTTCAATGCATGCATATTTAAATTTAGTTTTAAGTTAAATATACACATATGTGCATGTGTCTGTATTGTTGTGTACATGTGAATACAGTGTCCATGGAGTCAGAGAAGGAGTGGGATTCCTTGAACCTGGAGTTACAGACGGTTGTGAACCACCTGTCGTGGGTGCTAGAAACTGAACTTGGGTTCTCTGGAACAGTGACAGTGAGGGACCAAAAATTCAAATTAATAAAAGTTTAAAAACTTAGGCCCTGAAAAGGGAACCTCTAATGATAAAGGAAAATTTAACTCCTTAAATCAGGAGTGCCATGACTGGCACCTGATCCCCTGCTCTCAGAGAAGGAGAGGTAACTGCCCACCACTCCTGTTAACATTCTTTTGCTAATTGCTAGTCATAAAGATCCCCCAGCCCTGAGGATAACTGCCAGACCCTGTGACTCTAACCCTGCAAGCCCATGCCCTGTCTTATTCAATCAAATGTATCTCCCTTAAAATGTATAGTTACTAACTCTACTTTGTATGACCTTAAGTAACCATGGAAACTCTGTAATTGATGGCCTCCAACCTTATGGTCTGCCCCTTTAAAAGCTTTTCTTTTTGCCTGGGTAGTATCTCATTTGCCCGCCATGCAATGAATCCTGAAGGACACAGCCTATGATGTTTTCTTTGCAGGTACGTGAGAACCTGAATTTATGACCTTAACAGGAAAGGGCTGTTAAGGTTGAGGAATTCCACCCTGACAAATGGTTCCCAGAGACAGAGATGTAACTGCCCTGAATGACCCATGAGCCTAGAGATTGCAGTCAGCCACCTGGAATGAGCCAATCAGAACTGTTACCCTCGCTCACCCCAGACCCCATCTGTTTGCAGTTTTTGCTTTTAAGTAGCCCCCTAGACCCCAGCTTGGGGTCCAGCTCCTCTGCTCCTGCATGAGTAATGTGCTGGGCCCCGGCGCACCCGTTACTGAATAAGGCCTCTTGCAGTTTGCATCAAGTCCTCACCTCCGCCTGGTGACTGGGTTCCCGAATTCCTGAGTGATCACCCCGGGGTCCCATGGGGGGGGGGTTCTTTCAACAGCAAGCACTCTTCACTGAGCCATCTTTCTAGCCACCACCCCCTTATTTTTTTTTAGACACAGTCTCTTGTTGAACCCGGAATTTACTAGTCTGGATGGCCAGCAAGCCTCAGCAATGCTCCTGCCTACCCCAGCTCCCCAAGGCTGTGATACAGACGCAGGTACTTAATCAGTCTTCATGCTTTCCCAGTAAGCACTTTACTGACTGAGCCATTTGCCCAGGCCTGTTGTTTCTAAGAAAACAAGATATTCAATATTGTTATATCTGTATGAAAGGTACAACGGAAACCAGTGAACCGAAGGCTGTCTGTCAGTCTCCCACCTACTAATAGGAACTTCTGACAGAAAACATAATAACCGGCTTTACATGGTGGAAGTACACACATCAGGGTTCTGGATGCTCTGTTTCTCCTCTAAATAATCAGATGTACTTTTCTTGGTAGTTAGCTTGGCTCACTGTCCATCCATCTGCCCCTCCCCTATTCCATAAAATGGTGCTGGGCAGGCAGAACAGGTTTGCTGCTTCCTAGAGTAACCACAGGGAGGAGAGAAACTCTCTCCACCATACTTAGCTTCATTTCACAGTCACCCACCAGAAGACAGGCTGCAGGGAGACAAGAGGCCACCAATGAACACTCACCTTTGGTTTTGCTCTCGGCTTCAGTTGCTCTAACTTCTTGGCAGCGGCTTCAATGGATGCCGCAGCTCCCAATAACTCTGTTTCTGCAATGACGGTTGGGTCTTCTGGATCCACCCACTCTGTTCCTAAAATCAGTCCCAGGAAAGTCATTCTTGGCAGGTGGAGACACGAGGGTACTGGTGTGATTACAAACAAAATCTAAATACACATTTTGGATGGCCCTATGAGCCTACTCTTTGCATAAGGGATCCCTATCTAGCTCTTCAACAGCTGGACATAGGGACTAAGGGGAAGCTAATCTGTTTTTCTAAACCAGCTACATGTGTGGCCCTATCCATAGGAATGGCTATCATTGGTAGATTCAAAACTCCATGGGCCAAGGATCGGGTCTCACTCTGCATTCTGATTTATGCTCATGAGTACAAGGACATCCCTTGGAGACTCTAGGCCACAGAGATTTGACATTCTCTCCAGGGAACACATGGAAGGGTCACATGCCTCAGAAAACACACTTGTCTAGTAGAGTACATTACATCTGTGTAAGCAAGTAAAGGTGTGCAAATGGTGTATTCAGTGAAATTCCCTATACATGAAAATATTATTATTACTATATTAATCACTTATAAAGCACTTACCTCACTTTAGTTTATGTGGATGGGTGTTTTGCTTGCATGTATGTTTGTGTACCATATGCATGCCTGGTGCCTGTAGAGGCTAGAAGAGGACATTGGATCCCCTGAGAACTGGAGTTATACATGGTAGTGAGCTGTCACATAGGTGGTGGGAATCAAACCTGGGTCCTCTGCAACAGCAACAAGTGCTCTTAACTGCTGAGACATCGCTCTGGACCCTAATTACTTTTTTTTGGTATGACTACAGATTGAAACTAGGGGCTAGAACATGCTAGGCAAGCATTCTCCTACCAAGCTTTATTCCTAGTTCCCCTCCCCAATCCTTTCTTTTTACTTTTCTAGATAGAGCCTTGTAAAGTTGCCCAATGTAGCCCAGTCAGGCCTCAAGCTTGCAATTGTCTTCTCCTGAGTCCCTAAGCATCTGGGACTATAGTCCTGCGGTCTTGAGGCCTGGCTCGTGGGCTTACTATCCAAAAGACAATAAAAAGCAATAGCTTGATGAATATAAACACAGCTGAAAATAAATGACAAATGAAGAGTTCCAGATGGATTATTTCATGAAGGTGGATGCACTCCATACAAAGACCAGAGCCAAATGCTATTTTAAACACAGGAAAAAAAGAATCCTATGCTTTTTATTCTCACTGTACTGTTTCCATCTACCAAGGAGGGACCTTGTTCCTCTGTCCTAGCACAGTGCCACAAGATGACATGAGGCCCTGACCTACCTTTCATGGCTTCTGCTGCCTGGATGAGCTCCGTCACAGCACCAGCAACTCTCTTGGAAAAAGCAGCCAGCTGATGCTTGAGTTCTGGGGTTGGCTTCTGAAGGATCTGTGGGTGAAAAACATGTTAGATCCATGGGGAGTGGGGTGATGTTTGACTGAAGTACACTTTTATTGGTGGAAAGGGACATCTCTGTGAAGGATTTCAAGTTCTCGAGAGGCAAGAGACTTGCCAAGTCTCAAAGACAGTGGAGTTGAGAAACAGGGGTGCCTCGATGGTTCCTTTTGACATAGTTACCAAAGATCACAAGGCTGGCCCTTACTTGTCCTTCATTCCTTTTATTTTCACATAAAACAAATCTAAAACAAATCTAAAAATTATATGTAAGAACACTGTAGGCAAGTACAGAAGTCCCAGGCTAAAGGTCAACTTAGACTTGAGACAAAGCAAACATGGACCCAGAGAAAATGTGGGATGGGGACAGGGTTGCAGTCAAAATCCCCACTTGAGCAACAGCTCAACAGCTGTTGAGTTGAGAAAAGTCATTCCTGAGCCAACAACCCAGTTCTAGTACTCTGATCATACCTCATTCTGCAAGATGTCTTTCCTTCCTTCCTTCCTTCCTTCCTTCCTTCCCTCCCTCCCTCCCCTCCCACCCTCCCTCCTTTCCTTCTTTTCTTTTTTGAGACAAGGTTTCTCTGGCTGTCCTGGAACTCACTTTGTAGATCAGGCTGGCCTCGAACTCACAGAGATCCCAAGTGCTGGGATTAAAGGCATGTGCCACCACCACCTGGTTTGATATAGATATGCTTTCTTTTGATTTAGTTCAAAGTTATAAAACAAAACAAATAAACAAATCTATTTTATTCATTTTTTTTGAGACAGGGTATCTCTATGTAGCCCTGATATCCCATGTAGATATGGCTGGTTTTGAACTCAAGGAGATCCATCTTCCTCTGTCTCCCAAGTGCTGGGATTAAGAGCACACACCAGCACACCTGGCTTTACTGACTGATTGTGTACATGCTCTAGAGTGCACACGCATGCTCATGTGGAAGTTAAAAAAGAACTTGAAGGAGTTGGTTTTCTCCTTCCACTATGTGGGATGCAGGGATTGAACTCAGGTTGCCAGACATGGTGGCAAGCATCTTTACCTGCTGCCTTATTGTCAGCCCCAGAGGTTTCAAGGTTTTTTTTTTTTTTTTTT